TTTGCATGCTTATGACTCTTTGATTGGGTCATAACACACTTTCTTTGCTCAAACTGTTCAATCTAACATCTGCAAAAGCACATAATGAGAGTCCCCAACTGTTCTAGTGATATCTCAACAAACTATTTGTTGCTTTTTGTTGAAACTTTGATTTTAAATTTTCTGTTGATATTTCAAATATTAATCATTACTTTTCAATGAAACTTGGTACATGCTCTATGGTCATTCATAGACCTGACTAGTTTTGGGTACAAATCTGAATATAATAATTTTCTAATAATGCTTAGTCAATTTTTGGCTTTTCCACTGATATCTAATCATCACATTACAATGAAACTTGTTACATATATATAACGAGACAATTCACGTATTGGATTAATAACCATGCATATTAACTACCCCATTTTCATAGTTAATTTTCTACTTTTCCGCTTATGTTTCAAGTACTTATCTTTACATTCCTATGAAACTTGGTGCATAGATGCTCTATGACTATTCACAGATCTATTCACAATCTAATTTGCATATGATTAGCACATTTGTAGCTCCACTGTCGACGAAGTCAAGTGGAGCTTATAGTATTACTGATTATCCGCCGGTGTCCATCGTCGTCGTTGCCGTCGTCAACTTTACATTTTCGACTTTTACATTTTCGAAACCACAAACATTATAGCTGTGAAACTTTCTAGGAAGGTACCTTGGGTGCTTCTCTCTCATATTTGTTCATTTCGTGTAGATATGTTCAATTGTCTCATTTATAGCGAATATTTTTGTAATGTTTGGTCAAAAATGATATTTTCGACTTCTTCTTGAAAAGTACTGGCCAGAATGCTTTGATACTTGGTATGTAGGTACCTTAGGTGGACCTCTCTCATATTTGTTCATTTTGTGATGATATCTTTAATTCTCTAATTTTGATGAATATTTTTGTCATTTTTGGTAAAAAGTAATATTTTCGACTTCTTGTTAAAAAATGCAAGTCCGATTGCTTAGATATTACATATGTAAGTAATACATGTGAACCTCTCTCAGATTTGTTCATTTGGTGATGATATCTTTAATTCTCTAATTTTCATGAATATTTTTGTCATTTTTGGTAAAAAGCAATATTTTCGACTTCTTGTTAAAAAACGAAAGTCCAATTGCTTTGATATTACATATATAGATACTTCATGTGGATCTCTCTCTGATTTGTTCATTTCGTGGCGATATCTTTAATTCTCTAATTTTCATAAATATTTTTGTCATTTTTGGTAAAAAGTGATATTTTCGTCTTTTTGTTAAAAACCGCAAGTCTGATTGCTTTGATATTAGATATACAGGTACTACATGTGGACCTCTCTCAGATTTGCTCATTTTGTGATGATATCTTAAATTCTCTAATTTTGGTGAATATTTTTGTCATTTTTGGTAAAAAGTGATATTTTCGACTTCTTGTTAAAAACCGCAAGTCCAATTGCTTTGATATTACATATATAGGTACTACATGTGGACCTCTCTCAGATTTGTTCATTTTGTAATGATATCTTTAATTCTCTAATTTTGGTGAATATTTTTATCATTTTTGGTAAAAAGTGATATTTTC